AACTTACTACTATAATTCGAGGTCTCCCTCTTTCTAATTGGTGTAAGATCAAAGATCCCTGTGGAATCTGTATGTTAGGGTGCCTTGGCAATGTTTTATTCTTTGGTGGACATTTGATCAACAGAAACAAAAAAAAAAAAAAACATTTTAGTGTTTGATAATTATATTTTTTAAAAATATCTATTGTAGAATTACTCAATTAGATAAATTATTATTTATGATTAAATTAATTAATAATTTAATATATAATGAACAAAAAAAATATTTGAAAATTTTATTAAATTATTTAAGAATTCTATTAATTTTGATAAGATGACTTTTGTATTCTTTTCTGAAAAGTAAGGACAAATAATTTATCAAACACATAAGTTACAAAAAAAGTTATGTAAATATCTATAAAAAGTATTGTAAACAATGTTATCAAACTAAGTCTAAATATAAATAGAACTTTTAATTTGTACCTTTAAGTTAGATGCAATTATTGTATTTTTTTACTATTAATTTATATAAAAAAAAAGTTGAATTAGGTTTTATATCAACTTTCTAATTAAAATATTTCATACAATATTGGTGTTAAAAATAAAATTTATTTTTGTAATTTTTCATATAAATTCATAATAAAAATATGTAATAAATATACTATAACACAAGTTAAAAAAACTTAATATAAACAAAAAAATTAATTTAAATTACACAATATAAATTATTAAATAATAAATAAATGCTGTTCCATTAATCCATTCAATGGTTATGTTTTGTAATTGAGAGGGACCTCATATAAATATGTAATAGCAATTTCCGTAATATTTTGGAAATATCCATATGCTCTGAAATGACTTCAGACTTTAAACTTTGGCAAAAGGTGCAGATCACCCCCTAAACTCACCAACTGGTGGCAAATCACCCCCTCAACCCCAACTGGTGGCAAATCAACCCCTCAACTCACCTGCAGTGGCAAATCACCCCCTCTCTTAACCCCTCCGTTAACACTTAACGGTCCGCTCATCAGCCCTTCCTCTGTGTTTGACGTGGCCTTCTTTTTGCTGAGGTGGATGCTGAGGTGGAGGCACAGTTGGACAAATACCTCAAAATCACCAAATTAAGCAAAATACCCCAAAGCTCCTCGACGCAGCATCACTGGAGAACCGTCAGCTATCATCACCGGAAATTGGCAAACCTTGTCCGACGGGTCCTCATCCGTCACAATCGCCAACCTCGAGAAATCACAGTTCCCATCGTTCTGGTTATTCACTTGATAGTACATGTTGAAGGCATACGAGGCATTTCCCTCCGGGTTCAGGTGATTGTAGGAGGAGCCGTAGCCCAACACAATGCAATCGGAGTGAGCGCAGGCATAACTGATGCTATCTGGTAAATCCTCGAGGTCAGTCGCGTCTGGGTTGAAAACGCACCATCTCTTGCTCAGATACCTCACCCCCTCCACTGCAGCTAGACCTTTGTTTCCGTTCTTTCCCATTAAATCCAGTTCGTATTTGGGTTTTCTGTCAAACTTGAAGATTCCCCAATACCTCTCGAAGGTTCCGGCATTAATGTCCTTGGCATTCTTGTCGATTAGGCTAAAGAGGTAGACATTAATTGGGCCACCCCGAGCTGGGGTTCCGTTCCCGCTCATAGCATGTTCGAGCAAACCCTGGTTGAATCTCCTTGCATTCTGGGTGTTCGTGTTTTTGTCTCCATCTGTTTGCCAACCAACTTCTCCGATGATAATCGTCATATTGGAGAATCCATTTTTGTCCAGGGCTGAAACCAGAGTATCCAGGTTCGCGTCGAACACGTTCGTGTAAATCCGGTCACCGTCCTTAACCCATGTGCTTTCACCATCAAAGAAAGCAAACTCAATAGGGAAATGATTGTTTCCATGGAGACTGAGGAAAGGGTAGATATTGACGGTGAACGGGGAATCGTGGAGATACAAATACTGGATTATTTCAATGGTAGCGTCTTTGACATCCGACCGAAAGTCACCCGTCGAGGGCAAGTCGTTTCCTCCTTGTGATTCATAGACATCTGCATTCAAGAATTTTGCTTAATTCGGTGATTTTGAGGTATTTGTCCAGCTGTGCCTCCACCTCAGCGTCCACCTCAGCAAAAAGAAGGCCACGTCAAACACAGAGGAAGGGCTGATGAGCGAACCGTTAAGTGTTAACGGAAGGGTTAAGAGAGGGGCTGATTTGCCACTGCAGATGAGTTGAGGGGTTGATTTGCCACTAGTTGGGGTTGAGGGGGTGATTTGCCACCAGTTGGTGAGTTTAGGGGGTGATATGCACCTTTTGCCTTAAAATTTCCCCACCGATTGACCCCACAGTGGGCGATTGACGCCGGGCGAACAGTTCAATCAGCCAGAGTGGCTCCGCCGGCATCTATAAACTCCAAAATCAATTATTGCCTCTGTGACTTTAGGATCACAGCAATTAAATGCGCATCAATTTTCGACATAGCACACCGCACACGGACAACCTCAAATTTCTAGGTCTTAAGTGCCCCATTATTAACGAGTCTAGAGCGTTTGAGACTTCTATGTAGTACTATGATTATGAATAAAAATTATTATTAATATTTTTGCGGTGGCAGGTACTATTTATTAAAATTATTTATACTTATCAAAAATAAATTTAAACATATACTTTCACGCATAATTTTCTTTTA